GTATTATAATAAGGACCCAAAAAGGACCATAATTTTGACAACCACCCTTATGGCTTCTACTATAGGTTTTTGCATGCGAGGGCTTTAGGTTCTAGGCATCGGGGCTCTGAATTTCGGGAGGTTGGCGACCCTAAATCCTAGACCCTAGACCCTAAACCCTAAACCCTAGACCCCAGACCCTAAACCCTAAAGCCTAAACCCTAAACCGTAAACCAACCCGAAAGCTTCACACCTTCCATCAAGACCTTCAACTCATAACGACTACAAATAACGGAATTCCTGACACCAGAAAAAAAACCTAAGCTTCAAAACCCTAAACCCTAAACCCTAAACCCCAAACCCTCGAATAGCCTTCAAGCCCTCCTAAACCCCAAGGAGTCCTGACTTGCCGCGAAGCCACCAAAAGACAATACCATCCCCAAACCCGACATCCTAAGCCAGCTTAAACGCCCCTTTCGAAACATGGCCAAAAACACTAGCAGGCAATCCCAGAAAGTTGGAAAATGGATTTAGGACGATTCTTTACATTCTGGGAATGAGGATAATGATTTCCAACTTTCTGGCATCTCTGTAATCCCGTGAACCCTCTTCGGGAAACTTTCAGGAGCTCCTGTGGCAGTGCAGAAACAGCCGCGGACATCCGCCCAGATTTTCGGAAGCCTGAATCCCGTACCTCAAGAGGGGGCATCGGGGATCTACAGCATGCTTAGGGCTTAGGGTTTAGGGTTTTAGGGTTTAGGGTTTAGGGCTTCGGGCTTCGGGTTTAGGGGTCACGCGTTCTCGTGCGCTTTTTGCCGAGGGGGCTGGGTCAGGCTATCAGTACTCTACCTGGCCACGGCCTGCTTACAACCCTGCGTTCAGCCTTTGAATGGTCTCGGGTTTAGGGTTTAGGGCGTGGCCTTTACTGCCTCAGTGATGATGATGATGATGATGATGATGATGATGATGCGGAGGAGGAAGAGGATGAGGAGGGGCAGGAGGAGGAGGATGAGGAGGATGAGGAGGATGAGGATGGTGATGATGATGGGAGGAAGAACGGCACTGGTAAGCGAAAACCAGGACAGGACATGGTGTCTGTCATGCCTTGGAGCTTCAATGTGATTCCGAAGCTTCAGGGTATAGGGCTTAAGGGTTTAGGGTGTTTTAGGGTTTTAGCGTTTCAGGGTTTCGCGTTTAGGGCTGGAGCTTCATGGCTTTGAGCAGTCGACTCTCGGTGCAGCATCGTGCTAGCAAGCTTATCTGGGTTCTTGTTAAGGGATTTAATTTAAGTTACCATAATAAGGAAACCATAATATTTACTATAGATCCCTATTATGGTAACTTAAAGAACCCAGTTATTTTCTCGCTGCGTCGTCTCATCCGGCTTCGCGTGGCCCCCTGGTTGAGCCTTCCAGCCTAGCACCGGGGCTACACCCCGAAACCTTTTCGGGTCTAGGGTCTAGGATTTAGGGTTTAGGGTTTCATGGCATAGACTCCAAACTGCCCACCGACATCTGCAACACTGTGCAGAAAGCCATTGCCTGATGATGCTGATACTACTACGCATCATAATCGTATAACCAGGTGGGCATAATGCGACAGCAATGAAACACAACACTCTGGCCACTGGCACTACATACCCAGAACAGACGGAGTAATACCAAGACATGCCGGTACAAGCATGAACAGGTATCGCAACATCATGACACCCAGATGGTGGGGATGTCTTATACTTAGCCATGCGAAAGCACTGTGCAGGCGTAAACTCCAGGGACCATGACGCCAGAATACAAAGGTCTGCCTGGGAGTTTGGGGCGATGTAGCAGTCAATTCGGATGCAGAGCATCTCAGCTGGCTGCAAGTTGTGCTTTCAGTTTGTGCCAGTCTGTCGTATAGGGGCCTTGCTAAGTACTGGTTTCGGTGCATGTTGAAACATGCTTATGTGGTTTTGGTGCATCTTCTAATACGGTTATGTTAACGGACCCGAACGGTAAACCCTAAACCTGAAATCCTAGACTTAGATGCGCTTGAGATTAAGGGTTTAGGCAATGGTGGCGAAGTTACCGCAAACCGGAAGTTGACCGGCTGTGGCAACGAACACAAAGTCCGGATGGCTCTTTCGGCGACTCTGAATGAAATGGCTAGGTGGCGACGCCCACGTACGAATTCCGTCGCGTTCGCCATCATAATGATACTGCACAGTGGCGGAAAAGCACCGAACACATCGTGAAGATTGATAACAACTTCCACCCGAAAACTTATGCCTTCCCGCCTCATCACTTTCGAAGAAACCCAAAACCTACAAACACGACCTCATCCTCTGCCGCACTACCAGTGCAGGCTTTGGAGAAGCCGATATTTGCAGCAACAGCAGATTTCGCTTGGCTTCAAAGATAGAAGGGCCCTAGACTCTAGACTATAAGGGAATACTGTTAGTAGTATTACTCGCTGTTCTACGGCCGATTATTAATCGAAATGCTCTCCTTCCACACGGTTTCTATGGAATTTCCTGCGTGCTATAGCAACGAGCGAAGCATCCCCACAGGCGCACACCAACACCTTGTCATCGTTGCCTGGGCTTTCAGGTAACCAAGGAGAAAAAAGTGTAGACTTTTATTTCATAATGGTTCCTTTAAGGAACAGGTCCCAAAAAAAAGTATTAAAGTATGGTACTCCAAAGCCCAGTTGCCCATGTCATTGAATTGCTGAACTCGACCCGACACCGTTTGCCAAAAGTGATCTCGGCTGCATTGACTCAAGTTTTCGCTTCTCACGCCAAACTGCTCGCAACAAGGGCCAATCTTTTCATCGTGGTAGTGCATGTTTTGGCTTCCCCTCCAGAAGAACGCGACACGATTGCCAAGGTCCTGACCGGCACTGTGCATTGCAAACAAGCCTTGCTGGCATCCTGTGAAACCAGTCCCCCAACTGATGAAGACCACTCGCTCCAAGGACTTGTACAAGTCTCGGTTGCCCAGCACCGTAGGGAACGGGCCTGCGACATGAACGTCCATGTCTCTCCCATTTGAGGTCCTCCATGCCACTTCACGCTCCACCTTCCACGCCCAATTCACATACGATCCTTCCAACCTAGCTTTAAGGTTGATGTGAAGCTCTTGCCTCTCATCTCCGTGAACCACCACGGTAAACGGATGCCAGCCAGGAATCCCGGGCACCTCGATCTGCACGTAACCCAAGTACGTCTAGCGCGGTCTAGAAAGATCCAAGACGAGAACCATCGTCTGATCATCTGCCTGCTGGTCCCCACGGAAGGAAACCTTGGCTGACTTCTGAACCCTTCCTTCATGTCAAACTTTTGGCCTACTTACTACAATTAGTTCACATAGAAACCCCAAAAAAAAAGTGTGAAAGTCCTAAGAGCCAGCCAGAAGAACGCCAAGAAACATACTTTGCCGTCAGGTGCTCGCAAACCGTTAGACCTGAGGCTGGCTGAAGGCTTCTCTGAAGTTTAGGGTTTAGGGTTTAGGGTTTAGGGTTTAGGGTTTAGGGAGTTGGGTTGGGGGTGAACCTTGCGTCTTCAAGCAAAAGGTTGTTCTTCCTGGTTTGGGTTGTCTGGGTTGGCCTTTAAACCTTGTGAAAAATATTTATATGAATGGCCTCTTGTAAACCCAAATAAGGAAAATAGAAAATGTCCCAAAAACCAACCTAGTTGTATACGGACGAGAGGCACACTACCAGTCTTTCCGTTACCTTAAAGCCCTAAACCCTCGCCCCAGACCCTAGAATCCACTCATCGTTTCTCAGAAGAACCATAACAGAAACTTGGATCGAATCCGTGCAACGCTCCTAGGGTGCACGGGAGCCTCATTCCGAAATTTTTAGTTTTGGAGATTCCTGACAGACGAACTCTCCATGCCTCAGATATCTTTGCATGCTGGAGGGCTGAGGGTTTATTGCATGCTGTCTCTAGTCTTGGGACGCCTGCAGGCCACATGGAAATCCACTAAGGCCTCCACGAGAGTCCAGAAGCCACATGAAAAGGAGCACCAAGCAGAATACCTTCGGTGTGGCTGAGATACAATGAAAACAGTCAAAATATCGAGCTTAAATCAGAAACCGCAAACCCCAGACTATATGCTAAAACTCAATACCATCACAAGCATTCAACATGTATTTCAACTGTCACCAAGACGCGAACAATGCAGGCGCCCCGAGCATTCCAGTGAGGCCGTGAAAGATGCCCAAGACGAGCACACAACCCGCCGATGTGCGATGGATGGATCCTAGGCTCACCCTTCAAAGCCTTTGAACAATATCCGAATGTAGGGGCCCTTAATAATTATATCCTAATGTAGGGGCCCTTAATAATTAGAAAAGGGTTTTGGGGTTCCTTATTTTCATTCTAGTATAATATGCCCAAAAGCCATATTCCTCTTAGGCCCAATAGGGACCAATGATAGAAATTTCCCAAAGGCCTGGCGAAGATCGGAAGGTGTCGTAGCTGCGCTCCTTGTAAAATACATGGGCTAAATAAGCACATACGAGCGCGGCCAACATCATAATGCCAGTGAGGAAAGGCATTTCCGGCAGCAGGACCTTTCCATCCCAAACTTTGACGGAGTACGCTGAAGTGCCGTCTGGCAGCCAGCCATCGACCAGAGCCCACAACAGGTGCGACACTGCATGAATGCTCGCAGTGATAAGAATGCGTTTCCCAAGAATCATGTGGAGTTTTGAGAAGCCTGATGACATGCCTATGCCTATGCAAGACTGCAGAACAAGCTTCACTCCGGGCCAAATGGTGCAAAACAGGATGATCAGGTCGAAATAGATGCTTGCCGCAGAAGCTCTGGCAAGGACGAAGAGAATGCCTCCGTCCTGGGCCTTGGCTGGCGCCTTCGGATGGCAGCTCATATGCACTCCCCAAAGGAGGAACTGCCACCAGCCCAGCCACAAGAATCCCTTGACCACCGCTGGGGAAATCGTGGTCAACCAAAGCGCGGTTTAGGGTTTAGGGTTTAGGGTTTAGGGTTTAGGGTTTAGAGTTTAGGGTTTAGGGTTTAGGGTTGTCTGTCTCGTGCTCTCCAGTCCGGAGTATTGAAGATGATGACCAAGAGCGGCAAGGTCTCGCTGATGAAGTACTGGAACACAGAGATCTCTGCATCAAAGAACTCCACCTCTACACCGGAGTGGCCGCACAGATGCCTCATCAAGAGAAACAGCTGCTCCGAGATCTCGGTCAGGTTGATGTACATCAGCACACAGAGGGTGGTGACAAACTGACGTCGAAACGCCTTGAAGTTTGTCTCTATCTCCAGCTGAAGCTGTGTGAGCGCGCGGTATGCCATGATCTCGCCGACCAGCGTGCACACTTGGGCTGCCAACCTGCCACCGGAACCCTTTCGAATGTATACTGGTAAGAATGAAGGATGGTAGCAGTGGTAGCACAACACCAGAACACTAGTGACTTGTCAACGACCGCTTCAGGACCACATCCCAAGACCCCTCCAAGACCAATCCCAAAACCACTCGCAAGATAGATCTAAATGCAAAATGCGAGCAGCACTGTGGCGAGAGCACTTATCACGAGTCGCACCTCAAATTACGCACGGCAATGGGGGCGACCATGCACAACCGGCTGTCACCAGATCACGATTTTAGACTTTGGAAACCTAAAAACCTAGCAAAAAGGGAGCGTTGTGCAGCCGGCCGCTTCGAAAATCCCACAGGCTCTGCTAAGGCTTTGGACTCTTGAAGCATGTGCAAGCCCAGAAGGTGCGCAGCTCTGTGGCTGGAGCACGATTTCCTCTCCCCCTTGACAAGAGTGCGATTTAAGCCCTGGGTGGATGCGGGACTCCAGCGAGAGCAGGAGATCTTGTCGAAAGTGTGCACGGCACAAGCCCCAGCGCCACCCGAGGACAATCCTCTGTACCCGTTACTGTGGGGTTTAGGGTCTCGGGTCAAGCGCTTCGGGCTCATAAGGTAAGTACCAGGCGGTTTGATGCAAGAAGCTTTTTGAGGAAGCCCGCTGGGAGCTAGGATTAGGGGGACCCTTGGGGATATAGACCCTCTCAATAAGGTCCCTTTTAAGAGAGCCAAGAGTAGGGTTCAGAAGGGGTACCCTTTTAAGGGGTACCCCTAATAATACTACCTACCCGCCTCATGCACACGGAAGCCACGGGATCCAGGTTTGCCAAGGGGACGAGGAAAACTCGAAGGAGCAGAATGATGAAGCCCGCGAGCAACCACATCCAGAACCGTCTGAATCCCAGTCGGCAGCTGACCTCCTCCTGTCTCCGGAGCACCTCGTTGATGTAAGCCATCAAGGTCCCCTGCACGACCCAGAACGAAAGGTGCTGCAAAGCAGTCCATTCACGCTGGATGCGGTCAACGGTGGTCCGGTTGCTGAAATCCCGGGTGAAGTCCCACGCATGCCAAGCAGCCGTGATCACCTCCGCATTTCACGGAGCTTAGTTTAAGTTAGCATGACCAGGAAAGCATTTTATTCAGCATATTCTCCGGAGAGTGGTAAGTTCCCCCTAAAATAGTGCAAAAGCGCCAGGCTATTGGGTATGGACTGAACTGAGTTCCCAAAGAAGAGCCCAGTCGCACACACGACAATAACACTCCCAAAGACATAGGAGTGCCATGAGCCTTTCGGTAGGTCGGCGTCGGAATTCCTGCAACAGGACTTTGCGAATCCTTCCCGGAGAGCATGATCCTCAGTTCTTTTGGACTTTGAGTTCAGGGCTCTTGTTTCAGGAACTTAGCTATCTGAAGTTACCACTGTATGGAGTTATAGAAAAAGCACATCAGTTCCTTAACAAGAGCCCAGTATCACAATCAGCTGGACACAAATCAGCGTCACCAGCTTGATGCCGAGGAAGAGACGCTCATCCACCCATGGAAATTCGGGCATGGTCTCGCACTGCCTGTTCTCATACCTGGTTCCCTGTTCAGGCTATATTAAAAATGTTCACGTTTAATCCTTATTGCTTTTATGATAACAAAAATGTAAAATTGTATCCAACAAAGACCCAAATACGGCTTGGATGTGCTCAGGAAGGACACCAGGAAGACTTGCAGAGCGACCGTCAACCCCATGACCAACGCGCCAACGATATTAGCCCGCGTCCTTCCATGGGCGCGGGGTGCTTCTTGAAGCGCGGTTTCCATTCCCTAATCAGCAGCGTTGCGGAGGAACTGCTCGAGCTTTGCTTGACACCAGACAGCTGTGGATCGGCGACTCACTTCTCAAGGGCTTTATAATGGCTGTAATGGGCGTTTGATGGAGAGCTTTAGAAATGGAACAGGTCTTTTAAAGTCGTGCCTTCGAGAAAGCCGCTCCATTCAACTCAAAGACGACGGCCCCACTGTGGCTTCAGGTTTAGGGTTTAGGGAGGGTTTAGGGCCTAATTCAGGGCTCAAGGCAGCGAGTCACTGGCCTTGCAGCGCACACAGCGCAGGAAGGCACCATCGCTTCGCCGTCTTCTTTGAGTGCTGAGCTTTAGAGTTTGGGATTGGCAGGATAGGGTTTAGGGTTT